CCCTAAACCCTAAACCCTAAACCCTAAACCCTAAACCCTAAACCCTAAACCCTAAACCCTAAACCCTAAACCAAACGCCCAGGACCACATCCCAGGCTCCCATTCCTTGCTCCTGCCGCCCCCAAAACCCTAAACCCTACACCCGAAATCCGAGGCCCGAAACTCAAGATCCCAAACCCTAGAAATTCTAGAAACCCTAGAAACCCAAGAAACCCCAGGAACCCTACAAAACCCTATTAAAACCCTCTAAAGCCCTTCAAAGCCCGCAAAGCCACCATAAACGCCATGAACCCTATGAAACCCCATAAGACCCTGTAGCACCCTCTGAAAACCGTCCAAAACCCCAAAACACCCCCGAAACCCAAAAAGTACCCCCTAAACCCTAAACCCTAAACCCGAAATCCGCAGCTTTCGCGCGAGGAGCCATGGCTTCCATCTTGGAGGGTTGCAGCCGCCGCTCCTCGGCCATAATTAGGGGTTTAGGGGGTTTAGGGTTTATTAGGTTTAGGGTTTAGGGTTTAGGGTTCAGGGTTCAGGGTTTAGGGTTTAGGGTTTAGGGCTTAGGGTTTAGGGCTTAGGGTTTAGTCGGGGAAGAGCCCCTGAGTTCCGGAATATTCCTCAGGGGCTACTGAGATTTCAGGGTCATGGCGTCTAAGGGTTTTCGGGCTTGGGGTTTAGGGTTTGGAGTTTGGGTTTTATATGACAGGGAGCCAGACATGGCTAGAGGCCTTGAAACTAGGGGGGAACGAACACCTTCGACAACCATAAAACACTACATGAAGTAGGGTTTATATTTCTTGTACCCCCAAAATGACACCCCAAGGTATACACTCACCAATATTAAGAAGGAACCTTATGTACACTCACCAAAAACAGAAATACCATATGCCCTGACTATCCCCAGCCTCGCAAAGCTCTACGCCGTGAGCTCCGTGCTCTCAAACCTTTGGCTCAAACTAGGCCCACAAGCCTTCTGAAGGTAAGAGGGCCTTTGGGCCCAAAAGCCTGAACCCTAAACCCTAAACCCTGAACCCTTGAACCCTGAACCCTGAACCCTAAACCCTAACCCTGAACCCTAAACCCTAAACCCTGAACCCTGAACCCTAGAGTCAGAGTCCTTAGAGCCTTACAGGGAAAAGGCTCCGGTGGGTGCACGTGCGCCAAGATGTTCCAGTAAAGCCAGTGCGACAGCAAGCCCACCAGGCGCACCTGGGCTCGCGACGCAGCCCTAAGCCCTAAACCCTAAACCCTAAACCCTAAGCCCTAAACCCTGAACCCTAAACCCTAAACCCTAAACCCCAAACCCCAAACCCCAAACCCTAAACCCTAATTAAGGGGGTTCCCCAGGATGGATATTAGCGGCCTTGTCATCCCAGGGCCTCTTTAAGGGGCTGTAAGCAACTACAGCGGTTCGGGGGGTTTAGGGTTTAGGGTTTAGGGTTTAGGGTTTAGGAAAACTAGCCCATCCTGGTAATGATGGCTCAGGGTTGGTTTTTGTTTTGCCATGGCCTGTGCGCATGCCGCTACTGGCGCGCATTGCTACCACACCCAAAGGAAGATGTCTGTGCTCGGGTTTTTGAGGGTTTAGGGTTTAGGGTTGAGGGTGTAGGGTTTAGGTTTCGTGGGATCCAGAGCATGAGAGCACGCAGAGACGTAGTCTGTATTGCGAAAGTGGTGAATTCACTTTTAACAGCATCCCTCAGCATGATCGGCTGGTTGGCTTGTAGCGTTCCAATGAATCCCAGCATGATTCTGTGCCCCGTGCTGCACCCGCTTGTGCAGAAACCCCTACAGCCCTGACAAGCAATAGCCCTGAAACCCTCAAAACCCTGAAGCCCTAAACTCCAACTAAAACCCCAAAAGCCGTAAACCTAGCAGCCCTGAACCCTGAACTAAAGCCCTAAACCCCAACTCTTGAAAAGCCTAAAAACCTTGAAAACAATTGAAAACCCTTGAAACCCGCTAAACCAACCAAAACCCTCGCTAAACCCCGACGAAAAAAACCTAGTTGAGCCCTAAACTCTCAACCCTAAGCCCAAAACAATAACCCTAAACCCTAAACCCTAAACACCTTAACACCCTTAAAACCCTTAAACGCCTATATAAACCCTAAACCCCCAAACCCCTCAAAACCCTATCTGCAGCTCCAAAGTGCCATGTCTTGGCTGGCCATGTGTGCGCGAACAGCCTTGGTGGCTTTGCAAGGGAAGTTTAGGGTTTAGGGCTTGGGGTTTAGGGTTGAGGGTTTAGGGTTTAGGGTTTAGGGCAGTACTTGGAGGTGCATGGTACTTATTAACCAGCTATAACTGTACTTATAACCCACTTATAAGCCCCTTAAGTGCCCCAATATGGCTATAAGGACAGTTCTAGGTGCAGTTATAATTGGTTAATGAGTACCGTGAACCTTCAAGTAGGCACCACAGTAGCATCTGGGCGCGCCCACTTGCTGGGGGCTTGGTCGCTTTGCAAGGGAGGTTTAGGGTTTAGGGTTTAGGGTTTAGGGTTTAGGGTTTAGGGTTTAGGGTTTAGGGTTTAGGGTTTAGGGTTTAGGGTTTAGGGTTTAGGGCTACCAAGCAGCCGAGAGAAGGCCGGGCTTCGGCTGCCGCGTCAGAAGCTCCAGTGGGAGCCTCAGTGAGGATTTCGGGGTCAGAGAGGCATAGGGTGTTGGTGTTCAGGGTTCAGGGTTCAGGGTTCAGGGTTTAGGGTTTAGGGTTTAGGGTTTAGGGTTTAGGGTTTAGGGTTTAGGGTTTAGGGTTTAGGGTTTAGGGTTTAGGGTTTAGGGTTTAGGGTTTAGGGTGTTTAGGGTTTAGGGTTTAGGGTTTAGGGTTTGGGGTTTAGGGTTTAGGGGTTTGGGGGTTTGGGGTTTAGGGTTTGGGGTTTTGGGTTTGGGGGTTTAGGGGTTTAGGGCTCCAGTGTCGTCAACATGACAAGAGTGCAGCCTTGCCAAAACGGGACTTCTGGCACTCTTCCTGAAATCCCAAGCTAGGCTGCCCAATAACCTAGGCTTAAAAAGGGTGCCCTTTTTTGCTTAAAGGGGTTTATAAGGGAACCTAAACCCCCCAAAAAGGGAATAAGGGTACTACTGGGCATCCTAGCAAGTGCGAACATGGACTCTTCTCTTGGCTGCACTTAGCCGGGCAGCTATGAATTTAACTTTTTGGCTGCCTTATTAAGAAGCCCAATAAACCCAAAAAGGCTAAGGATCTAAAGTTACAGTAAAGCACCACAGAGCTTTTGGCATTGTAGAATACTCGTAGTTTTGGGCGTTGGGTACCACAAACAGCCCAACCGTGTGGCTCATTTCCCATGTAGAGAGCAGAGGAGGCCGCCTGCCCCCACATTATTCGAGTGGCTGGGGTCAGGGAACCTTGAAAACCAAAGCTCTCAAGTACCCGAAGCCCTGAACCAACAAAACGCACAAAACCCAAAACCTCGCATCCGAAAACACAAACACTGAACCCTGAAACGCTAGACCTGACGTGAACCTCAAGCCCTAAGCCCTCGACCTTGAACATCCCTGGCCCCAAGCCCTAAACCCTAAACCCCAAGAACCCTGCATCTTTGCAGGGAATTCCGAATCAGTACCCCTAGGACTATACTGCACCCTAATTCCCCCAACGCCCTACTATGGTCCAGTAAGGTTCCGTATTATTACTACTAAATGCTTAAGAACCCCCAGCAATAAAATGTATTCTTCCTCATAAGGGCAAGATCGGGATTATTATCTATTGAATTTTGGCGGTTCTTACGCAAATAGTGGATTAAACTCGAAGTGTAAGGGGTTTAGGGCTTAGGGGGTTCATTTGCTTTAAGGCTGCTCCTCTTTGGGCCCTTGGGACGCAGAAAATGAAAGCACAAAAAAAAAACACGCCCCAAAGCGCCCACCCTGAACCCTCAATCTCCTGAGCCCTAGACCCGAACTCCTGACACCCAGGAGAAACCCAGCAATAAAAAGGGTGCCCTTATTTGGTTTAAAGAGGCTCACAAGGCAACCTAAACCCTAAACCCTGAAAGCAGGGTTGTAATAAGTGGATGTTCCCCTAGAGTGTTAAACCCATGGCTTGACGAGAAAGATTGAAGTGAAGTTCTGTGATGATCAGAAAATGAAGTGTAAAAAATGTCGGAAAACAAAAACAGAGAAACGTAAACAAGAAATGAATTTCAGCAAAGTTCCCTCATGTTTAAAAAACGAAACGTCACACTAAAAACGAAAAATACAAATTTTAAAAAACACTTAAAAACGAAATCGAAATACTGTGATCAGTAAATGAAAAATAAGTCTCTAACTTAACAAAGAAAAATGCAGAAAACCAAAATGTCAGTTTAATTTAATGTAAGTGTTTCAAAAACAGGGAAAACTTCGGGAAAACGCTTGACGAAAAATCTATACTCAAAAGCTCAAACACCCGGCCTCTTTTGGATCGCAGGCTGACGCGAGAGACGGTCTGAGGCCGGACTGGCGTGAGACTGTCTGAGTTTGACTCACATGGCCTGCTCGGCAAAAACGATGCAGGTTAGCAAAACAGAGCCGCACACAGTTGCACTGAAAGCATTTCCCGCCATGTCTTTTTGCATGCTGGGACTGACATTCTGCAAGCCGTGTCCTTGCACGTCTGCACGAGATAACCCTTGTAAAGCAAGAAAATCTTCACCGGGCAACAGCCTCCCGCGCCATGCATACTTGCCACAAGGAACCACACATGGACAATGATCTTTCGTCATGCGCTTCCTGTCCTCAGATGGGGCTGCAACACTGCAAGCAAACGAAGGAACAACCACTCACAAAAGTGCTTATGTGTGTATTCATGATATAATTAACTTGCAACCAGCGGTCGATTGACATGTTCAGTTGAAAAACATAGTCCATGGGATCCTCACGCCGACGCTGCGCCAGGATCATGTGAGCAGCGAGCAGAGTAACTTCGCGTACCTTAAGATTGTCAGTCAGACTCGATACTCCTGGTCCCGCACCCTCGAACAACACACGAACTGCAGTGCCACTAGCCAACTACTAGCTGGTCACAGCTTTGCTGGAGAGATGCAGGCATCGCGGCGACTGACCACCTTTGCAGGTGGTTAACTTGTTCAAGGAGCTGCTGCTCCGAGATTTCCGCTTCTTCCATGAAGGAAGTAAGATGACCGACCCATTTCTTGCCCGAGTCTGAGGCTTTGCGCAAAGGAGCTCGCAAATCCTGCAACGTCATAGGCCGAGAGTGACGACCTTCAGGCAGGTCCGCATCCTCGGCGAGAAGCATCTGCAAGGGCCACGGTCGATGCTGAGGCGCGAAAATTCGGTCAGGAACAAGTTGTGCCAGCGTCTGCGCCCCATTCAGCTGCTCGGCATGGAAAAACACCATCCACGCACGTGGCCGTGACTGCGGCAGACCAAACTGCAAACTGTTCAGCAACAGTTGAGAGTCCTCAGGCACATGTGATAACAAATCACCGTGACAAACTTCGTCGCGACAACCCCCTGAATCTGCATCCGAGAAGCTGGGCCGACGTAGCCTCTGCGCTTCATCTGCGTCACGAGGTACGTGACCGGCTTCTGACCCTTATCCACAGAGCGGACTTGATACATAGTCTGGACATTCTCCAGGATGACAATGGTGGGCTCATTGCAACTGATGTATGACAGAGCTGCTTGCAATGTCTGACCTGTCCCTCGTGTCACATCATCGACGGTAGCTGGGTCATTGTTCAGGACAGATATATCCTTGCATGAGTATCCAGCCACCAGAATGTCACAGCGAGGGACTGTCACGGACTGACCCGAACGGAAATCAAAAGCTGACCCTGTGGCAACTTCACAAACATCTCCAAAGACTGCTGGAACGCTTTGGTGCCTAAGTTCGCATCAACTGTCATTTTCTACAGAATAAAATTCTCGATTCGCAATACTGTTTTGCATTTAACACGGCACGCAGTCAAGCTCCTGGGTCCTAGAAACCTGAAGCCCTCGTTCCCAACACTTCCTAAACTGGTTTAGGGCTGCTCACATCCAGGTGCACCATCCTACCTCTGAGGGCTACCCTAAACCCCAAACCGCAAACCCCAAACCCCAAACCCCAAACCCCAAACCCTAAACCCTAAACCCAAACAATAAACCCTAAACCCTAACCCTAAACCCTAAACCCCAAACCCCAAACCCGAAACCCTAAACCCTAAACCCAAACCCAAAACCTAAAACCCTAAACCCTAAACCCTAAACCCTAAACTCTAAACCCTAAACCCAAACCCTAAACCTTAAACCCGAAAGGTAGCGCAGGTAAGCAATCGAGGTGCTGTCCCTTCACCAGGCGAACGGTGGCCTTCGCACAAAGCTAGAGGGGGTGGAGGCCCTCTAGGGTTTATGGTTTAGGGTGTAGGGTTTGGGTTTAGGGTTTAGGGTTTAGGGTTTAGGGTTTACCCTAAGGGTCCACGTACCTTGTTATTACATACTTGGGCCTCAAAGTCCTTGTATAGGAAGTACTTCAAGGCCCAAGTATTCCCTATTTAGCTACATGGACCCTTAGGGTTAGGGTTTAGGACAAACTTCGATTTAGGATTTCGGGGTCAGGGCTCAGGGTTTCAAGGGGCCCTTCGGGCCCTAAGCCACTGAAGTGCCTGAGGATTCGCCCTTAACCTTCTGAGACTTCGGCTTGGGGGCGGCTTGGGGGGGCTTGGGGCTTCGGGCTTATACGGCTTAGGGCTTAGGGTTTAGGGTTTAGGGGCCCCCAAACCCCAAACCTAACCTCTAAGCCCGAACGAAGCCACTTGCTACTATTATAATATACCAGGGATGGGTTGATATTGTCGACCTTTATTATCAATATCGACTTAATATTGGTTATAGAGGTTAAAGAGGATAATTTCCCATGATCTTCGGCATTCCATCAGCTGGCGCCTTTTTGATGTCCTCCACGGATGCATTCACTGGAGCCCGGGCCTCGTTGATAAGGAGACGGCCACTAGGGCTTAGGGTTTAGGGTTTATAGGGTTTATAGGGTTTAGGGTTTAGGGTTTAGGGCTTAGGGTTTAGGGTTTAGGGTTTAGGGCTTAGGGTTTAGGGTTTCGGGCATTTGGGGAGTCAGGTTTCCTTGGGTTTGGGAATTGGGTTTGGGGTTCGGGGCTGCTTGGGGCTTAGGCTTTCCTTGAGGTTTCAGGTTTCGGGTTTTGGGTTCAAGTCTCAGGGGACCGGGGCACACCTCTGAAACCGAGAGTCTGAGGGATTATTTGGGGGGCCTTTCGTGGGAGAACCTGAAACCCTAAAGCCTGAATCCGAAACCCTCAACTTATCTAGCAAGGGCAGCTTGCTTTGGCTTTGGAAGGTCCAGAAGCAAGTCTTGAGCCCTTGCTTCTGCTAACCGGGCATACTGGATCCCCTCAACCCGAAACCCTGAACCCTATACCCTACACCCTCACCTGGCATCCGGACCCTCCGCGAATCCAAAGCCCAACCCCCAAAGCCCAACCCCCAAAGCCCTATACACTGCATACCCTAAACCCTAAACCCCTGAACCCTAAACCCCAACCCCGCAAGCCCTGAAACCCGAAAAAACGAAAAATCCCAAAACCCTGCACCCCTGGAATCAAATTGCACGCCCAGACCCCTAGACCAACCTAAAACCCTAAACCAAACCCCCTAAACCCTGAAACCCTGAAACCCTGAAACACTGAAACCCTGAAACCCTGAAACCCTGAAACCCTGAAACTCTGAAACCCTGAAACCCTGAAACCCTGAAACCCTGAAACCCTGAAACCCTCAAGCCCTAAAACTCTAAAACCCCAAACCCTGCCACGAAGCCCTGGCCTGGCGTAGTTGGTTGTCCGGCACCTGCACCGGAAGCTTTTCTTTGTCCCATGTCTTGGGGTTGCCTTTGGGAGCCATGGGTGGGGGGGGGGGGGGGGGGGTTTGGGGTTTAGGGTTTAAGGATGAGGGTTTAGGGTTTAGGGCTTAGGGCTTAGGGTGTAGGGTGTAACGTAGGGAAAAGGGTTTCGGGTGTAGGGGGGTTGCTCTCCTGGATTCCTTGTATTAGGCTTTCGGTTTTAGGGTCTATTTGTTTTTTCTCGCTTTGTTTATTAAGTCATCTGGACACCTATCCTTTTCAGCAATCCTGTGGAGTGATCCAGGTTTCGGGCGGTCCGCACAGGTATGGACGGGACGGAAAAGTCAGCTTCACGATCAAAGCCTCACAGAAATTGCTGCCAGGCAAGCGTTTTCACCTGAGACCCCATGTCGTCGAGCACTTCCATCATCTCGACGGACTCCATTTCCAAAGCTGCACACAGACGCACGTTCTTTGTGCTTTTCTCCTGTCCTGGCCGCCGTTGGAGCTCGCCAGGCTCAGCGCCCACGGCGCAAGTTAACGGGCAGTTGCATAAGCCTCTTACAAACAGTATACGGCTTACATAAGTAGTAAGGCCCTTCTCAGGCAAACTACTCACCCCAAACCAGCCTCCCCCACCTCGTGCGAAAATAATCACGGGTTGCAGAAGGGCTTTGTTGCTGCAGAGGGTTCCTTGAAATTTTATTCGAATGTAATCACCCGAAACCCCAAACCCTTAAACCCTAATTAAACCCTAAACCCTTAAACCCTAAACCCCTCAACCCCGAGCAGTTCCTGAAAAAGAGGGTTAAGGGTTTTGGGCACACAAGCCGCAAACCTGACCCCCGCCCCAGACCCTTGGACGCTACACATAGGGCTCGTAGGGATGTAGGGTAGAGGGTGGTTTAGGGTTCAGGGTTCAGGTTTTTGGGCAACTCAAAACTATTGACGCATCTTCTTCCCGAAAGGCTAAAAGATGATGAGCTGTGGTTCAAGGGCCTAAGCCCTACACCCTACCCTCTCCACCCTAGACCCTAAACCCTGAATCCTAAACCCTAAACCCTAAACCCTAAATCCTAAACCCTAAACCCTAAACCCTAAAACCTAAACACTAAACCCTTTTATGGCCGCTTGGGGCTTGCGAACTTGGGAAGCAGGCCACAACATGGCCATAAACGAGCTCTACACAACTAGCTAACCCGGGGAGTCCATGGAAGTGGGGGTCAGGGTTTAGGGTTTAGGGTTTAGGGTTTAGGGTTTAGGGTTTATAAGGTTTAGGGTTTAGGGTTTAGGGTTTAGAAGGTTTAGGGTTTAGGGTTTAGGGTTTCGGGTTTAGTGCGTGTCTCCCAAAGCCCTGAAAGCTGAAATCGCGCTCTGGCTTCCCAAACCGCTCCATACGACATGACGAGGGTTTCACACATGAACCTCCAGAAGTGTGTTTGGGGTTCAGGGTTTAGGGTTTAGGGTTTAGGGTTTAGGGTTTAGGGTTTAGGGTTCAACCTTGGGATGCTCCACCTTATGCTAGAGAAGTCCTTGATTGAGATTCTAGAACCCCTATTATGATCCCTCTGAAGGACTGGTAGTATAAGGGGGAGCATCCCAACGCAATAGGGATTGCAGTCCCCCCCTCCTCCCGATTAGAATCCTTATTAAGGACTGTTAGGAAAAGGGGAACATCCCAACGCCCCAACCCCTCACTTTCGGGATCCTGGCAACCACAAGGTGAATTTTTACACGATCACTTCAGCTCAACCCAGGGCAACACGAGTGTAAGGTGTCCTGCCCCCGTCTTTTGACTTCAAGGTTCGGGTGAAACCTAACGTGGAGATGGTTCTGGGAAGCAGAAGCTGAAATGGTTGAAGCCCCTTGAAACCGTCAAGACCTCCGGAGTGTCAGAACCTAGGAAAATGGAATGGCGCCCTTTTTGCTTAGCGGTGTTATCTACTCCCCTTAGAACCTTTTTTTAAAATGATATTCTTCATATCCTCTTGGGTTTTTAATATAAACAAAAAGGAAAATAATTCCCGAAGGGGGATCTCGTTATAGGTTTCCTTAAAGACCCTAGATCTCAACAAGCTCAGAACGGGAGGCGTAAGTTCAACTCGTCCTGGAAGTTATAAGCCCAAATGCTCAACCCCCTAAACCACAACCCTGAAAGCCGGAAACCCTCCCTAGACCCTAAACCCTACACCCTAACTGAAAACCCTAACATCCTTTAGTACATACTTAGGCCCTGCAGCTCCCCTTTGAGGCCCAAGTATCTACTGTATAGGCACATGGACAACCCCAAACCCTAAACCCTAAACCCCAAATCCCAAACCCTAAACCCCAAACCCTAAACCCTAAACACACCCTAAACCCTTAGGGGGATCCTTGACCTGAAAGCCGAGGGCCTGCAGCGGTTTGGGTGCTCGCGGCAGCCAGGGGACGACCACCAGCTTGCCATTCACAAGTCGCTGGCTGGCAAAAGGCAGAAGGAACCTGGGTGTGGACTTCGTAGGGTTTAGGGTTTAGGGTTTAGGGTTTAGGGTTCAGGGTTCAGGGTTCAGGGTTTGGGGCTCAAGGGTTTGGGGTTCAGGGTTTACGGTGTTAGGGTTTAAGGGCTTAAGGGTTTAAGGGTTTAAGGGCTTAAGGGTTTAAGGGCTTAAGGGCTTAAGGGTTTAAGGGTTTAAGGGTTTCAGGGTTTAAGGGTTTAAGGGTTCAAGGGTTCAAGGGTTTAAGGGTTTAAGGGTCCATTGCTCAAATCATGGTCTTGCCCTTGCCAGTTCAAGGCGCCGCAAAATGGCTGAGCTGCTTACGCGCTGGACACACACACACACTAAACCCGAAATTCTAAACCCTAAGCCCTGAACCCCTAAACCCAACCCTAAACCCGAAGCCCTAAACCATAAACCCGAAACCCTTTACCCCTGACCCCTAACCCTCAACCCTAAACCCCAATCTCCTCTTCCGCCGCGCCGAGTCACTTGCGCTTCAGCTCTTGAAGCCGCTTCTCCGTTAGAGAGCCGAGCCTTTTGCAAAGAGGGTTGGGGTTTAGGGTTTAGGGTTTAGGGTTTGGGGTTTAGGGTTTAGGGTTGAGGGTTTAGGGTTTCGGGTTTAGGGTTGAGGGTTTAGGGTTTAGGGTTCAGGTTTCAGGGCTGAAACTGAGGGTCAGCTTCCTGGGTCATGTTTTCTTCTTGGGTGTGATAAATACAAAGCTACGTCAGGTCCGGGTCACAGAAACCCCGTGTATCGCAGTCTATTTTTGCTACTCCTATTATTACTAATTCTATTATATGATTGTGACTATTACTTATTACGATTATCATTATTATGATAATTCTCACTATTCTCATTATTCTGTTTATTCGCATTGTTCTCATTATTCTTTTCATTCTCATTCTTCTTACTATTCTTCTTAACATTATGATGATGGGAGTTTTGTATCCCCCAAAATGTAAAGTGTATTCACTCAGCTACGAAGCCATCATGGCCAGGCCCAACGCCAAACTGCGAGCCGAGGGACAGCAGTGAGGAGGTCTTCGCCTGCGCCGGAGCAGGAAGCTTCAGGGCCATGAGGGTTTAGGGTTTATAGGGTTTAGGGTTTAGGGTTTAGGGTTTAGGGTTTAGGGTTTTAGGGTTTTAGGGTTTAGGGTTTAGGGTTTAGTGTTTAGGGCTTCCCTAGTAGAACCTACATATACTCCCCCTACATATACCTTATATAGTCCCGAGATACCTAAGCATTCCCTCCAGAACCTCCTTATACACCCCCCCCCCCCCCAAGGCCCCTTATAAGGTTCCCTCGTTGGGGCTGTCTCAGAGGCGATTTCAGGGTTGGTTTGGGAAGCTCAGCCCCTGAGCCCTGAACTCTCACATGCCAACCCCAACCTGAAAACCCCAGACCCTAAACCCTAACCCCCAAACCCTACAGTTTGCCCTAATTAACCCCTAAACCTCAAACCCTAAACCCCAAAACCCTAAATAGCCCATTCTTCAAGCCCCGCGACCAGACCTGCCCCCAGAACTGTGCCGAGTGGCTCCAACTAAACCTCCGCCCTGGAACCATGACATGCGCTTGCACCCTACCACCAGGTCGGAACCACCGCGGAACTTGCCATGTAGAACATTGAGAGAGCTGAGCTTTTAAGGCCATCAGGGCTAACCAGCCGGAGCATTCTGAAAGCAACGCAAAAGCCCGCGTTTTCCTACAGCCTTCAAAACTCCAAGAAACACGGGATGCGGTGGCCTGGCCATCCACAGTGCTGCCTCGTTGGCAGGGGCCACGTCTAGTACTATGCTATTTGGTATGGTTTCTGGGTACCTGATTCCAGAAAAATACTACAAGTGGACCCTCTGGGAAAGAAGAGTAGCCCTCACAGGACAAGACGTTAGAAGGCATCAAGTGGTTGCATGCCGCGCTGCTGGTTCAGGCAATCTTTAGATATTTGAAGAGTTTGTGCCAGAGTAGGGAGGTTCGTCGGAGGGCTTTGTATAGTGTACTTGTATTGTATATATTGTGTACAGCCAAAATGAAGCCATACTGTGGGCCCTAAACCCTAAACCCTAAACCCTGAACCCTAAACCCTAAACCCTAAACCCTAAACCCTATTAGCGGTAGCAATGCGTGTCAGGATGCCGGGTGCGACGCCGCGACGACGAGCCTGCGGATGCGTAGAGCTTCGGCTCAGCGTGTGCGAGGGCTTGGGGCTTCGGGTGCACAGGGTTTAGGATTTAGGGTTTAGGGTTCAGGGTTTAGGGTTTAGGGTTTAGGGTAACGGGCATCGGATCTACAACCCTCGTAGTCCCAATAACCCCAATAACCCTAATCACCCTGATAATTCTAGTAACCCTAATAACCCTACTGACCCGAATAACCCTTCTACCCCTTAAACTGAAAGGGGTGCAGGGCTTGTCTGCCACCCACCCCGTTCCCACACCCTAAGTTTCCCTGAATGGCATTTTCACGGCAGGGGTATTTGCTGGAGTGTTTGACGAGTGCCGACTGAACCCTAAACCCTAAACCCGAATGCTCCGGACGGTTCAACCTTAAGAGAACGTGACGAACAACGCACCGTACACGGACACCCCGAAACATGCAATACTGCGCCGGGCCGATAGTTCGACCCACCGACATCTTGGGGTTCTGACACCCGTACCCCGCCCTCTTCCCCATAGACTCCTGACACAATGAGGCTGGGGGACTCCTCGGGAGCTTCTATAGTACCATATTTTAACAGGGTATTATTTTCTCCGCTAGCAGGCACAGTGAAAGCGCGACTCTTCGGCACCCCGTGACTCCGCGCAAGTATGCACCGTCTGCATGTTGTCCAACATGTGCCGTGGGTCGAAACTTTCGGCCCGGGGGTGTATTTGGGCATTTCCCAAGATAGGGGGTACCCTCATATACCCCCAAATACTAGAATCCTTACTATTATGGGCCCCCCCAAACAAGGGTACCTCGATTTTCGGAAACCGCCATATTGGCATGCAACAGGCCAAGCACACCGAGTGCCAAAGATAGGCGCTCAATCAAGGGCTGTGTTAAGTCCTGGTCCCCTTTGTGGGTCCCTTTTTCTTAGGGTTTAGGGTTTAGGGTTTATAGGGTTTAGCGCCTCGTTGTTCAGGGCAGGGTACCAAACAACAAACTCCCAGAAATCTTAACCCACCAACTTATTTGCGACATGCGCAGCGGCACCTGCATGCGGACTCGCTCCAGCTCGTGCGTCAAGTCAATGTCGGTCTCACTGGTGGGCAGCCAGGCGCAAGTACCTCGTGAACGCTAAACCCTAAGCCCGAAGCCCTTCAAACCGTGAACACGAATACACAGCCTTGCAAGCCTTCAAGCCCATCTGAAACTCTATAAACCAAAGAAGCCCCCCCCCCCCCCCCCCACACCTAAACCTTGAAACCTAAACCCTGCTCCTACAGTATCAAAGCCCCGAGTCTAAGGCATTTGAGGTTTCAGGGTTTGGCTCAACCCTAAACCGTAAACCAACCAAAGGCTTATAAGCCTTTGGTTCAACCCTACAAGCCCTAAACCCTATGGTTCAACCCTATAAGCCCTAAACCCTATCACCCCTACAACCCGGGTTTAGGGTTTAGGGTTTAGGGTTTAGGGCTGAGCGTTTAGGGTTTAGGGAAGACTTAAGGTAGAAGATAACTGGGAGACTACAGAGCTACGAAAAGGCCGGGGAGTCCAAGGTGCGCCCATCCGGTTAGGGTTTAGGGTTTAGGGTTTAGGGTTTAGGGTTTAGGGTTTAGGGTTTAGGGTTTAGGGTTTAGGGTTTAGGGTTTCGGGTTTCGGGTTTCGGGTTTCGGGTTTAGGGTTTAGGGTTTAGGGTTTAGCAGAAGAACGCACGGAAGGTTTCACGCTTTAGCGTTAGGGTTTCAAGGTTCAGGGTTTCAGGGTTTAGGGCTCAGGGTCTAGGATCTCAGGTTGAGGGTCTAGGAATTTAAGGTCTGCTCCCGGGGACTCATTCAGACTGCCTCCGTTCTCCCTCCAAAACCTACACCAGGATGAAGCTCCTGGTTTAGGGTTTAGGGTTTAGGGTTTAGGGTTTAGGGTTTAGGGTTCTTCAGAGTTTAGGGTTTAGGGCAATATGGACCCCCAAATAGTAGGATCCCCTGATGAATAAGGACTCCAAATAAGGTACCCCTAGTATCGTAAACTCCAAAATAAGCATTGCCTGCCCCCGGGAACCCTAAACCCTAAACCCTAAACCCTAAACCCTGAACCCTAAACCCCTAAACCCCTAAACCCTAAACCCTAAAGCACACGATGGTTTTGGGGGGGGGCTTGGGCTGGATTTTGGGCTCCCCCCATTGGGGACAGCGGCTGCCAGTTGGGGCCGGAGGCTCCGAAACGGAAACGTGCATGAATTTAGGGTTTAGGGGGCCGTACACCCTGTAAAGGTCACCAAACCTGATTAACCCTAAACCACCCCACCTGGAACCCTAAACCCTAAACCCTAAACCCGAAACCCTAAACCCTATTCACAAACGTTAATGGGCCGCCTCCGCCAAGGAAGGGAAGCTCGCGCGTGGTCCTGGGTCCCGGCCTGGGGCTTGCATTCAAGTTGCCGGATAGGGTTTAGGGTTTAGGGTTTAGGGTTTGGGGTTTGGGGTTTAGGGTTTAGGGTTCAGGATGTAGGGTTTAGGGTTGATGGTTTAGGGTTCAAGCGCGTTGGGTAAACTTCTTTTGTTTTGTTTTTCGGGTAGATGCTTAGGGCCATAAACCCTAAACCCTGAACCCTAAACCCTAAGCCCTAAACCCCAAACCCTAAACATCCCTAAGCCCCAAAGAGGACCCAAGCTGAAACCGAGAGCATGTCAGCCCCCACGCCAGCAGTCGTGCGAAACGAACTGCGGAGGCCTCCAAAGGCCCCAATCCCCGCCTTCGAAACCTTGAGGGTTTAGGGTTTAGGGTTTAGGGTTTAGGGTTTAGGGTTTAGGGTTTAGGGTTTAGGGTTTAGGGTAGGATTTATAATGGCTTTAGGGTTTAGGGTTTCTATCGGAGTTTAGGAGCTTGGGTTTTTTTGGCTTCAGGGTTTCTTATGGTCCAGCAGCGTGCGAAATGAGTGCCCGTTGTTCGTTGGGGAAGGCTTTGTGTGTGGGATTTGGGGTGTCAGTTGGGATGTTCCCCCTTTATACTAGCAGTCCGGAATAGGGAGTATAGTACCCCTCTTTATAATCCCCATTAAGGACTACGAACATCCCAAAATATCAACTTTGTTTTGCTGGCCACCCTTGCAACGGCGGGATAGGGGGGCCTGCGGGTTGGGAATTTTCGGGGTTCGGATTTATAGGGAACTCAGAAGTAAAGCAAGCACAGTAGTCAAACAAAAAACACACAGCGTTGACCCAAAAACAAGCCCCTAAGCCTTGCCAATGAAAGAACACATAGGGCTGCTCAGGGTTTCCGGGTTTATCTAGGGTTGAGAGCCCTGGCATTGAAACTGTCATGGGTTTCCCTACTACACTATCCCCTCTAGGTTCCCCCTTGAAATAACCTTTATTACCAGCACGCTTACTTGTCCCTAAATAGCCTCAATTCTTGGCTGCACTTAGCCGGGCAGCTATGAATTTAATTTTAGCTGCCTTATTACGAAACCCAATAAACCCAAAAAGGCTAAGGATCTAAAGTTACAGTAAAGCACAACAGAGAATTATGGGGGGAACCTAGGGCGGCTAGTATAGAAGGGTGGTTTAGGGTTTAGGGTTTAGGGTTTAGGGTTTAATGGTTAGGGGTTTAGGGTTTAGGGTTTAGGGGTTTAGGGTTTAGGGTTTAGGGTTTAGGGTTTTAGGGTTTTAGGGTTTAGTAGCAGGGGGAACCCAGGAAAAACTGCACCTAGGCCACCGCGCGCATTGATCTGATACGGATTCACCCATCCGAGCAGTGGCTTGATGTAACCTGCCCCCCCAGGGTCTCAGAGTCTCACTTGGCTGCACTTACCCGGGGTAGCTATGAATTTAAATTCTTAGCTGCCCTATTCAGAAACCCAATAAACCCAAAAAGGCTAAGGATCTAAAGTTACAGCAAAGCACCACAGAGTTCTTAGAGTGTGTTCTAGTCAGGGTCTCCCCTGGAGGGAAAAAATTGACATCCAGCAACTCTTACTCAAAGGCCCCCCCCCCCCCCCCCAAAAAAAAAAAAAAACAAGAAACCCCAATCTCCCGCAAGGCCCGCCACACCCGGAAGCCTGAACCCTTAAACTTGGGGATGCACCTAGGGTTTAGGGCTTAGGGTTTAGGGTTTAGGGTTTAGAATTAAAGGTTTACGTGGCAAATTCCCCGCCTCCCTCATGTAAGGTTACCGCAAGTGACTTTTTCGAGCTGCCCTGCTCATAACGCTACATACTTCAAGGTTCACAGGCACTTACATAAGTAGGGAGACTATAAGTAGGGTAACTATGCTTGTATGCATATGAGTAGGGACGTTACAAGTAGGGTAACTCTGGTTGTATGCTTACAAGAAGGGTCATTATGAGTAGGGTAGCTATGGTTATGACCCTCTTCAGAGTGCTTCTGACCCCCACTTCTAGGTACCGATGAGCCTCCAAGAAACGACTCATGGATCAAGGAGCCGCTCAAACTCTTACTTTGCAATCATCAGACCCTGGCCCCATCCCAGGGTTTAGGGTTTAAGGTTCAGGGTTTAGGGTTTAGGATTTAGGGTGTAGGGTTTAGGGCTTAGGGTTTAGGGTTGTTTAGGGTTTAGGGTTTGAGGGCAATCTCTGGCCCCATCCCGGGCCCAAGCCAAGCTTGATTAAAGGCTGGGCCTTGCTTTTCGTCGGACTTAGATAAGACGGGGATGATAGGAGGGTTTAGGGTCAGGGGTTTAGGGTTTAGGGTTTGTTGAGAGTTTACGGTCTGGTCATGACCTTAACTCTGCGCGGTAAACATCAGGATCAGGGTTCAGAGCAACCAATTCAACAGCCAGAAATCATCGACTTTAACCTCCATAAAAGGGCTAACCCTAGACCCTAAACCCTTATAAGCCCAAGCCCTATAGACCCGAAACCTTTGAGGTTCTTGGGTCGGTTTGAACGCCGTTGGCCCTGTACCCTTATACACCCTATAAAACAACATAAGACCCCGTAAAACCCGACAACAGCCGACAAAAACCGGAACAAAAAAAAACCTATAAAACCCTATGAAACAACCTATGAAACCCTATAAAACCCTAAAACGCCCTATACCACACTATAAAACCCTATAAATCCCTAGCACACCCGACAAGACCCTCCAAAAACCTGTAAAACCTTGGAAAGCCCTATGAAACTGATAAAACCGTATAAAGCCCCACAAAACCCTCGAAACCCTACAAACCCTACAGAACCCTATTGAAACAAACTCTAAACCCTCAACTGTAACCCTACACCCTGAGCCCTAAACCCTAAACCCTAAACCCTAAACCCTAAACCCTAAACCCTAAACCCTAAACCCTAAACCCTAAACCCTAAACCCTAAACCCTAAACCCTAAACCCTAACCCTGAACCCTGAACCCTGAGCCCTAAGCTAGGCTGCACCTGTGTGACCGACCCGGCTGTGCGAAATTTGGCCCTCGGCTTCCTCCAGCTCGGCATGCTCCTCCTCCTAGCACTGGGAACTTAGGGTGCAGGGCCTAGGGTTTAGGGTTTAGGGTTTAGGGTTTAGGGTTTAGGGTTTAGGGTTTAGGGTTTAGGGTTTAGGGTTTAGGGTTTAGGGCTTCGGGCCTAGGGCTTAGGGCTGAGGGCTTAGAGCTGAGGGCTTAGAGCTTAGGGGTTGGGGCTCAGGGCTTAGGGCTTAGGGCTTCGGGCTTAGGGCTTCGGGTCTAGGGCTGAGGGCTTACGGCTTAGGGCTTAGGGTTTAGGGCTTCAATAGGGTTGGGGTGCAAGTGATTTTTCAAATGAAACGCATGAGCAAAACCAGGCCCAAACAATTCCAACACCCCTCATACCTTCTTAACAGCCCGCACAAGATTTCCCCAAAAGCCCCTCTAAACCCGGTTTAGGGCAGTATACTCTATAATCCCCTAGAACTGATCCCCTAAAAAGGAGCTGCATTGTAGGGAGCCCTCAGGTAGAACTCCCTAAACCCTTAACTCCTAAACCCCAAACACTAGAAAACCCTAAGCTCACAAATCCTTGCCCCGACGGCGCAAGCCCAGCCATTTTGGCTCAAGAAGCGCGACCCATACCATGCCCCGAAGACTTGTGACTGTTTTACGTACACCCGACTGTCCCGTGCCAGAAGCGTCTCGCTCATGGAGACGAATCCAACTTCGAGACGTTTGGCTGCTGCTGGGCCACCTTGGGTGGGGCCACCTCCCTTGCCGGATCCGGCTGCTGGAGCACTGGGGCATCCGCTTGCTCAACATGCACCCTCAACCCCTGCAAACCCTAAACCCTAAACCCCAAACCCTAAACCCTAGACCCTAGACCCCAAACCCCAAACCCCAAACCCTAAACCCTGAACCCTAAACCCTAAACCCCAAACCCCAAACCCCAAACCCTAAACCCCTAAACCCTAAACCCCTCCAAGAGCGGGCGCCTCGTTCTCCACGTCCTCCTCGCCCAGCCGCGGCTGGCGGATGCGGAGTCGGTCGATGACGGCAGAGCCCCGGTTATTCCAGGCGCCCTGGCGGCGTCGGCATCTGTAGGGTTTAGGGTTTAGGGTTTAGGGTTTAGGGTTTAGGGTTTAGGGTTTAGGGGTTTAGGGGTTTAGGGTTTAGGGTTTGGGGTATCTAGCTTCGTTGCTGAGTTCGTAAGCCCCAACAAGGTGTACACTTTCAGTTCTAGTAGAGGATTGTTGTATCCAAAAAGTGTAAAGTGTACTCACTCAGCTACTAAGTTAGGATTTGTTGGGGGGGATTCTAAGAATTGTTTTGGGGCTTTCGGCCCGAGCCCCTGAACCCTAAAACCCTGGTTTAGGGTTTAGGAGTTTCAGGGATTTACGAGATTCAGTTTAAGGGTGTTTAGGGTTTAAGGGGTAGTTACCCTGGTTTAGGGTTTAGGAGTTTCAGGGATTTACGAGATTCAGTTTAAGGGTTTTTAGGGTTTAAGGGGTAGTTAGCGCCACGAGGGGGCCTCGAGGCATCGACGGGGGGTGCGAAAGCAATCCAGGCAGTCCCTTAAACCCCTGAAGAGCATTGAAGATGTAGTTCTCTTAAACCCTAAACCCTAGACCCGAAACTCTCAACCCTAAATAAGCCGAAACTCTAAACCCTGAAACCCAAACCCTACACCCAGCCGATCTAGTCAGTTGACCATCAGAGTGGGCTGGGGGGGGGGGGGGGGGCACACCCGAAGCCTCCTTTGTGCAGATCCAGAAGGAATCTTACAACAAGAGCCGGCAGAAAAAAAGTTCGCGAAAGCCTACCTAAACTTGTGGAGGGCCGGGGGCGTCTCTCTCTCTCTCTCTCCCTCTCTGTCGCTGTGTCTGCGTCTGCGTCTGTCTGTGTCTGCGTCTGTATCTGTGTCAGTGTGTGCAGCCCTCCCGGCCTCGCCCTAAACACTACACTTGCCCTAAACCTGAACACTCAACCCCACTAAAACCGCTAAAGACCCAAAGCCCCTAACTTATCTCCCTAAGGAACTACAAACCCCACGCCTCGATCTGACATTCGCTCAGGGGAGCACGTCGAAGCACCTGCAGCGGAAGAAGGGGCCGAGGCAAGGAGTCAAGACTTGCGGTTTAGGGTTTAGGGTTTTCAGGGAACCCTACACCCCTACACCCCTACACCCCTACACCCCCAAGCCCTAAACCCTAAACCCTAAACCCTAAAGCCTAAACCCTCAACCTCAAGGCACCGCAGGGCTTTATGTAGGCATCCTCGGGCTTCTTTGGCCTTCGGGGGGCAAGGGCTCCATGGGCTTCGGGTTCACGGGCCCAAACCCAAGACCCAAAACCCAAAACCCCAAACCCTAAACCCTCATGATTGGTAGCTTTCAACTTTCCGTCCGCGCAGCTTCCCGCTGCAAGGATCGGCATCGAGCGTTGGTGTCCACCCCAATCGACGTTAGATACCTCCAGGAAAGGTTTGGAGTTTAGGGCTTAGGGCTTAGGGCTTAGGGTTTAGGGCCTAGGGTTTGGGTTTAGGGTTTAGGGTTTAGGGCTCAGGGTTTAAGGGTTAGGGTTTGGGGCTGAGGGTTTAGGGCTTAGGGCTTAGGGGTTAGGGCTTAGGGGTGAGGGTTTAGGGCCTAGGGCTTTAGGGCCTAGGGCTTTAGGGCCCAGGGCTTTAGGGCTTCAGGCTTAGGGTTTATAGGGTTTGTAGGGTTTCGAGGGTTTGGGGTGAATTATAGGGTTTAGCGAGTTTAGGCTTTGTAGGGTTTAGGGCGCAGCAGCAACTTACAAACCAACAGGGTGCCTATGTATACTCGTTTACAAGGGAACCGGCCCCCACCCCCTCAACAACGGAATAAGGGTGTCATGCCCTATAAACTCTGGAAATGCTTAAGGAGAGCACCTTAGCGCAGATCTGAACCCTCTAGTGATGGTGTGCCGGATTGGGGGTGTAGGCCGAATCCTAGACCTTAAGCACTAGACCCCGGAGACCCCAGAAACCCCACAAACCCCAAAATAACCCCAGAATAACCCCAGAAGAAGCCCAGACTAAAGCCTAAACCCTAAACCCTAAACCCTAAATCCTAAACCCTAAACCCTACTACATGCCGCGCCACGGCGCCTCTCCGCGTAAGCTTCGCGGATCTGGCGGACGCACTCCTCTCGGCGGGGGATCTTCTTCGCCTCGCGGGCGCAGGGTTTCTCGGGCATGGGCTGATAGGGCTTGTAGGGCTTATGGGGCTTAGGGTTTAGGGTTTAGAGGGCTTATAGGGTTTCAGGGTTTAGAAGGGTTTAGAGGGTTTGAAGGGTTTACAGGGCTAGAGGGTTTAGAGGGTTTCGAGGCTTCTAGGGCTTATAGGGTTAGAGGGTTTCGAAGGGTGTCTTAGAGGGTTTATAGGTTTCAGCGGGTTTATAGGGTTGGAGGGTTTAGAGGGTTGATAGGGTTAGAGGGTTTAGAGGGTTTACAGGGTTAAGAGGGTTAAGAGGGTGAGAGGGTTTAGAGGGTTGAGAGGGTTTAGCGTGGGATTTGTTGGGAGAAGTGGGGCTTGGGGTGTTGGAGTAGGTTTGCGATTCTCAACTTGGCTGCACTTAGCCGGGTAGCTATGAATTTAATTTTAAATGCCTTATTAAGAAACCCAATAAACCCAAAAAGCTTAAGGATCTAAAGTTACAGAAAGGCAGCACAGAGTCAAGTGTTCGGTTACTTGTCGATGTTGCGGTGTGTGACAGCTCAGGTATTACACCGCGGGAACTCGGGATGACGATGCTCCGAAAGTTTTTGTTGGGGAGTCCACGAAAAGGCCCTAAACCCTAAACCCTAAACCCTAAACCCTAAACCCTAAACCCTAAGCCTTAAACTGCAAAATAACGTTTATGTGAGGCTTTGGCTTCAGGACACGACAACTCATGCGGTTGCTATAAAGAGGGTGCTGTATGGGGCTTTGCCAAACTTAGGGTACTGATCTTGGGGGTTCTTAAGACCAGGATTTTGTGCTTTTGGGGATGTATGAAAACGGGTAACCTAGCGCTTAAAACCCTAAACCCCGCCACTTGAACCCAAATTCAAATATCCCCCCCCCCCCCGCCCCCCACCCTTTAGGTTTTTGGGTCGAGGGTTTAGGCTTTAAGGGTTTAGGGTTAAACCCCAAACCCTAACCCTAAACCCTAAACCCTAAAGCCCAAAACAGGGGAAGCAGCTTGAAAACGGCCTCGTCAAGGTGGGCCAAGGCGATCTCGATGTCGGCCATGGCTCGGAAAGGGCCAGCTGCATCTTTTGTCGCACCTAGCCTCTGTAACTTTAGGGTTTAGGGTTTAGGGTTTCGGGTTTGGGGCTCGTGGATAATTAGAGAAAAGCTTCGGGTTTGCCAGCGTTCAAGCAGGCTGAACTGTAAGGCTTGGAGCGCCATATGCCTGGATGCGTCCGACACCAGGCTCCTGTTAAGGGTGGTGATGCGTCTGCCAAATTTTGGGGCCTGAGTAGTTAGAATAGGGTTCTGGGGTTTATTATGGTAGGGGCCATACGGGAATACTATGAGTAACTCATCCGACCCCTATGTTAGGTTTAGAGATTTGACTTGGCCGTCCTTCCAAGAGCCATAAGAGCCGTGTGAACTGTCCAATTTGGGTGTCGCAAGCAACATCTGCAGTTTAGGGTTTACTTGGCTGCACTTAGCCGGGTAGCTATGAATTTAATTTTTAGCTGCCTTATTAAGAAGCCCAATAAACCCACAAAGGCGAAGGATCTAAAGTTACAGTAAAGCACCACAGAGTCTAACTGCAGTAGGGTGGAGGGCCTCAGATCGTTAACCCTTAAAGCCTTAAACCCTAAACCCAACCCGTGCGCCCCAGACCCTCCAAGCCCAAACACCGCCCCCCTTACCCCAAGCCCTAACACCGAACCCTAAACCCGAAGCCTACCTAGCCCCCCTTCCCCCCTGGCACAGACCCTAAACCCTAAACCCTAAACCCTAAACCCTAAACCCTAAACCCTAAACCCTAAACCCTAAACCCTAAGTCGGGAAACAAACACCCCCGAGTCCCAAGAGTCCCCCTCACCCTCCTCACCCTCGCTGGACCCCCGAACAGAAAGCACAACCCTGGCAAGAAGCCAGAAGCCTAAACCCTAAACCCTAAACCCTAAACCCTAAACCCTAAACCCTAAACCCTAAACCTAAACCCAATACCCTAAACTACCCCCCCCCCCCCCCCCCCAACAAAAACCAGAATCAAACACTCCGGCCTTGTTGGGGGCCGAACCCCGGTCCCGGCATAAACCCTAAACCCTAAACCCCAAACCCTAAACCCTAAACCCTAAAGCCCCCTAAACCCGGAAACTCCTGGCCCTCCCTCCCCCTCTGCCGTACCTCTGGCGCCCTGCAGAGCACGGCACCATACAGCCCGCACTGCATGCCTGTGCTCTAAACCCTAAACCATAAACCCTAAATGATGATGATGATGATGATGATCATCATCATCATCATGATCTGCAGGGTTTGGGTTTAGGGTTTTTTCGGCGTATCGCGCCAAACGCAAACCGGACCCATTTCCCCCTCTGCTCTACCTGAGCCCTACAGCCAAAGTAAGTCCAAGTCCGGCCGCCACAGCCTGAAAGCGCATCGAGGAGCGCCCCACTACCCCTTGAAACAAAAATTCTCAATTGGACGGTTTAGGGTTTAGGGTTTAGGGTTTAGGGTTTAGGGTTTAGGGCTTAGGGTTTAGGACGCAGAGACCCTGAAGAAAAAAACACAAGGGAATACTTGGGGATCCCGGTGCGACGTAGGTGCAGCGCAGCTAAAGTTAAAACATGCGGTAGCGTGATTAGGGCGGTGGGGGGTGGGGAGGTTGGTACTTCAAACCCTACTTCTACAATCCCCATGAACCTTCCTGTGGGCTTCGGGGAGGGGGTTGTGGCCGAACCCTGAACCACACACCAAACCCGTACCCTAAACCTACAGTATCCTATAAGTATGTAAATAACAACATGCATACATACATACATACATACATGCATATACATGCATACTGTACACGTAAACTACTATAGTCATGTATATACATATGTATATGCATATGTATATATATGTATATATTGAGCAACAACGAAAACATAAGCAACTACATGTCAAGAGTGCATGTAGACTATAGACTATGGACATGTATTCCCATCCTGAACCCAGAGCCTCATGAGACCGATATCTTAGCTTAAGCCTCAGGCCACAAGCTTAAATTCCTGTAAGCCCTAAACCCTAAGGTCAAGAAATAGACCCTAAACCCTGAACCCTGAACCATAAACCCTAACCCTAAACTTAGCTTCCGATTCCCTGGGTTTAGGGTTAGGGCTCTCCAATTCCCACAGCTGTCGGAGATTAACACAGCCAAAACAGATACACCCTAAACCATGTCTTACAAGCAACTTCAAAATGAGCAATCATGGCCCACCACAGCTCCTAAGAACCAAGCCCAACCCATCCTGGAAAGTTCTGGCATGCCATGCAAACACAAGCCCAACCCTAACTCCCAGCAACCCAAGAAGGCAAGAAGAGTTTAGGGTTTAGGGTTTAGGGTTTAGGGTTTAGGATTTAGGGTTTAGGGTTTAGGGTTTAGGGTTTAGGGTTTAGGGTTGGAGGCAGGCAGTAGTTAGAGTGGGGGGTGGACGCATCATTGCATCCCATGGGATCAAGACGCCTCGGTTGAAGCGGTACGTGTTGTGGGACACGGCGTACCTGGGAGGTCCAACCCTCACTTTGGTGCTGTTCCAGCCCAACCTCTCGAGGTTCCCTAAACATTCAAATGCGGTTTAGGGCTTCGGGTTCAGGGTTTGGGGTTGAATTAGGGCTTAGGCATTAAGGACCCTAGAGATCCTTCAACCAGCAATCCGAAACCCTGGAACCGCCCTGCGACCCAGCCTGCGCCCGAAGTACCCTCCAAGAACCCTATGCCAGACCCGATCCAGGCCCTGAAACCATACAGAACCCATTTAGAAAACCCCAACCACGAAATCCCCGAAACAAGCGGAGGTTTCCGATCAACAGGGGTACCCTTCTTGGGGGGGTTCCTAGAACAAGGAATACGGTCTGTTGGGGGATATATTGAGGATGCCCTTCTGAAAAATGCCCAAATCTAAAGCCTAAACCCTAAAGGGCAAGCCGAAATTCAGTCACAAGATCCAGTCACATGGTGCAGTCACATGAAAAACTTCATCCCCGCGCAACCCCATGCTCCCTCAGCATGCCGCCCACCCCTAAACCCTAAACCCTAAACCCTAAACCCTAAACCCTAAACCCTAAACCCTAAACCCTAAACCCTAAACTCTAAACCCCTCTCCAACCAAACTCCGGTTATGCCGGCGCCCCCACCCACACCCAAAGAAGCCAAGCACAAGCACAGTTGAATCTGAGAAGCCCCCCCCCCGCAAACGACAGAATAAGCACGGAGAAGCACGGAGAACCAGCGTCTGGAACAAGGAGAACCAGGGGGGGATCATAAGAAACACAACACGGAGCAGCCTGCAAAAAAAAACGCTCACTAGTTTTTGCAGGGCTTACATACGGTTTAGGGTCGGGAGCTTCGGGAGCTGAGTTGGGTTTAGGGATTAGGGTTTAGGAGTTTAGGAGTTTAGGGTTTAGGGTTTAGGGTTTAGCCTTGAGCCTAATGATTTGGTCGTGCTTACCTGAAGCAGCCAATCGAGATAATGATCAAGTACCTGAACGCACGTACTTTATCCTAAACTCCTCTGGATTCGGCAAATGCGCCTCATTTAAAAGGTGTGGAAAGGCCTCAGTGTTGGGGGTGCTGGCCGGAACAAAACATCACCGCGCAGCACAAGGCCCTCTAGCCTTTGCACCCCTCGCACAACCTCAGAACACTTCAACTTGGGAAATCCCCCGCAAACACGCCCTAAAACCCTAAACCCTAAACCCTAAACCCGAAACCCCGAGCTGCTGAGGTTCAGACGCCAAGTTCAGCAGATTCTCGTCATCCGAGAATCGCTCCTGCCAGGACCTGGGTCAAGAAACACCCCAACCCGAACCCCACACCCCCTTAGGGTTTAGGGTTTAGGGTGTAGGGTTTAGGGTTTAGGGCCTATATACAGCCTTTACGGGATTATCTAGGGTACCTCATTCCCTCATTCCCTACTAAGAACCAGGCAGTAGGGGCTGAGTACCTTGGCCCGAACAAGGTTCACCTTCTGTATATAGGAGGGTTCTATATCACCAAAAAGATTACAGGTTCCCTACCCAGTACCTAAGCCCCAAACCCCGAACCCCAAACCCTGAACCCTGCACCCGGGTGACAGGGAAAAGGAGTTTTTGCAACCCTAAACCCTAAACCCTAAACCCTAAACCCAAAACCCTAAACCCTAAACCCTAAACCCAGGAAAGCTGGGCATCGGAATGGGAGTCTGGACTTGAGCGAATCCTAAAGCTCTCTCAGACCCGACAAGTTTAGGGTTTAAGGTTTAGGGTTTGAGGGAATTAGGGTTTAGGGTTTAGGGTTTAGGGTTTAAGGGAATTAAGGGTTTAGGGTTTAGGGTTTAAGTCTCATGGGCTTGCAACCATCCCCAGCTTTGTATAGCCGGGTCCGCAACTAAGCAAAAGGCGCGAAAGGCAAAACATATTCCAAATTGGAAGTGGCGCAACATCCCCCAAAACGCAAAACTCCAAATGCTAAGCTGCTAAACGCTAAAGCCCAAAACGTTGGGAAGGAATTGGCTGCGGGAGAAGGTCATAGGGTGTCCTAAAGTGTGCACCCTTTGAGGAATCTCGTTATCAGGAGCCTTCTAGAAAGGGGCCCCCCGTTCAGAACAACCCACCCATCCCTGCTATGTCATGAATGTTGGTACCCATAACGACTTGGCAGCCCAGTAGCCATATTACAATATGGGCACCCTTTTTTGGGGTTGGTTACTTGATAATAAGGGAACCTTGAACCAAAAAAAGGAAAAGGGTACCACTGGGTTACTGTGCCAATGTATAGCCCAAGAATAATAACATAGCCCAAACCCATACCCCGTAACCTCTAGAACTCTTAGAAGGAGAAATTAAGGAAGGAGTTTACCAACTCTCTTAATTTCCACATGGCCTCTTTGGATCCCTATCATAGTACGGCACCTAATATTTAGGGTACCCCCAAAATGGATCATAATTTGGACAACCGCCCAAGTGGATCCCTTTTCCTAAACGCATTGTCAGGGGGGGGGGGTCCATCCGCGAGCGGTGAAGGAACCTTTGCTTCGACGGCCAAGTTT